CTCCTTACTTTTCCATTAATCATACCAAATTATTCCTAGGAAAAGCAACAACCACAGTCTGAATTTACATTGAAACTTGGTCCGCACTGTACGTGATTTATTTACCGCAGGAACAGAGACAACAAGCACCACCCTGAGATATGGACTCCTGCTTCTCCTGAAACACCCTGAGGTAGCAGGTAGGATAAAGGATAATAATACATATGATTTAATCCACATGAGAGGGGTTCTGGTCCTTTTGAGACTTTCCTTGGAAACTTTTTTATTGTCATTTTAATATATTTAAGTCATTACATGTTCAAGTTTACTTGTTCCTCCTTCTCCACTACTATTTCTACCTTGATTGGTTAAGTGGTATATAATTGTGACTTATTGGTAGAGGTAGCCACATAGATAGTGATATGAATAGAGACTGGAGCCCAGTGACAGAACTGGGAGGAACTGAATAAATGAGAGGCACTAGTTCCTGATAGCTTCTTGATCCTGCCTGACCATCAAGGAGCTGGTGCCTCTGGATTCCTGTCACTCTACAGCCAGAGAGGGAAGTACCTTGGGCATATGGTTGGTCACATTAAATTGTAGAACAGGTCCAGACCGTGAATACTCCTCATTTCCTTAATCAAGTGCTCCTTGGTCTTTATTCTTTGAAGGACACCTGACCTTTTCTTATGGGCATTGGACATAGGTGCCTTAAGGGATGCTCAGCTAGCTTAAGAGACTAAAATGGAATTTTCATCTCTCTGTCTCTCTATCTATTGAAATATGAGAGTCAAGTGTATTATTTACTAGTGTAGGTCTTGGTGAAAAATCAGAGAAAATATGAGCAAAGGCAGTTTTTATCTCTACTTTTAAGATCAATTTTCATATGTATTTTGACAGAAAAACTTCATGAAGAAATTGATCGTGTGATTGGTCGAGATCGAAGTCCCTGCATGGAGGACAGAAGTAAGATGCCTTACACCAATGCTGTGATACATGAGATACAGCGATACATTGACCTCGTTCCCAGCAACCTGCCCCATGCAGTGTCAGAAGATATTCAGTTTAGACAATATCTTATCCCCAAGGTCAGAAATGTTTTCACTGTAACACAAGATTTTATCCTGCCTCTAACTGAAATCTAGAATCTTGGAGTAAGAAGGAACCTCAGGGCAACCCACATTTCTGAGAAGTGGTCCCAGAATGTCAGAATGTGAAGGAATTTCAGGGGTCATAGTCTCCATTCCCACTCCAAAAAAGGATTCCATCTACAGTATGCTCACCTGATGGTAATCCAATCTTTGCTTAAAGATTTCCAGTGAGGTGGAACCACCTTGTTGCTGTGACATTCTATTCTAATCTTGGACAGCGCTAGTTACAGGGAATTTGTTTTGTTTTGTATTAAGCCTAAATTTGCAATTTTGTAACTTTAATCTTTTGCTCTTGGTTTTGTCTCCCAGAACAAAACAGAACAGAGTTACAGTCTCTAGTAAAAGTCCACAAAACATTTGGAATCAGTTATTATGTTCCCTGTTCTATTATGTCTTCTGTTTGCTTGTCTAAATATCCCCATTTCCTTCAACCCATCCTCAAGTGGCATGGACTTGTTATTCTTACCATCCTGGTTGCCCTCCCTTGAGTAGCCTCCAGCTCTTCAGTGTCCTCCTAAGATATGTCTCACAGAAGGAATGCAATCTCATTTATGAGCTGATGAGCCCACAGTAGTACTTCCAAGCTGTGTTTGAACCTTCAATAATTGCCCTTTGTATATGGTCAGTCATCAGTTTTCAATCCACCTAACTGTGTGATAGTCAAACCTGTATATTTCCATCATTTTCAGAGGAAGAGCATGAAAATGTTTATGATGTGTTTTGCTAAAATTGAAGAAAGACCTGTATACAGCATTCTGGTGATCTACCAGTTTGTTAATATCCTCAAAAAAGGAAATAATGATGATTCCACTCCAGATACTTGTGATCACTACCTCCTTGTCTCGAGTCATGACCTCATTCCTTCCTTACCTAGATCAATGATCTCTTTAGAAATATGTTCTAGACTCTGAGTGCAGATTGAAGTGTACTTTTTTCACTTTATTTTTCTTGCTAAGGTGTCTAGATGCTCCCTAATTTTCTCCTTACTTCCCTGGGGTATTCAATCCCTGTTAGCTGTATCTATTTATTTATTCTATCCTTTTCAGTTCAAAGATCATTCCCTTGGTCAGCAAAAAAAACAGAAGTAAAGAAAAAGAAGTTCTTCATCTTTCTTTGTCATCCTTGTCTTTAAGCCTCTGGTTTTGGGTTTATCCTTTCCTCCTCTTTTTCACAACATAGTTCAAAAAATTCTCTTCTTGTAGTGCTCTGTTCGCCACACCAGCCTCTGTGCATTTTGGGCTTTATCACTTCTGTCACTTTTATGGAACTGTGACACAGTCCTTTTACTCATCCTTGTCCTTGAAAAATCTAAGTTGATTGGTGAATTCCCTATAATAATTATAACTATTGTTTATAAAGTACTTTGAAGTTTACTTTGCATAAATAAGCTTATTTACTCTTTAAAACAACTCTGAGGGAATACATGCTATAATTATCCCCATTTTACAAGTGAGTAAACTAACTCTTAAAGAGACCACCTGGTTCACCTAGGGTCATGCATTGAATAAATGTGTGAGTCAGGATTTGTCTGAAGGTTTTCCTGACTTCAGGTCTAGCAGTCTCCTCACTGTACCACCTGGCTACCTTATCCACATTGGTATCTTTAGAGAATGTTTCTTTTTCTTCCATCGCCAGAATTCTTTTTCTTTGTGTCTTGAGAAACTTAACTCTTGTCTTTCTGGTGATAATAATAATAGCTAGCATTAAGGTTTGTGAAATAATTAACAAATATTATCCCTTTTTCATCCTGACAACAATGCTGAAATATAGGTGCTGTTGTCATTCTCATTTTACAAATAAGGAAACTGAGTCTAGGAGAGGGTAAGTTATTTTTGGCCAGGGTCACATAGCTAGTGAGTGTTTGAGGCCTGATCAGTTCCTTCTGACTGCAACCATTGTACTCTTCCCATTGGGCCACTTAGTTGATCCTGTATAAACTGTAAGATGGGCGGTCACTTTCCCAAAAATTCCCCTTATTACCATCTGTAAGTATGCACAGAAAGTGTGTTAAGTGTGATTGGGTATCCTGCAACACAGCATGATCCCTCCAGAGGAAGAATGTTGTGTCGCAGGAGATCTGCAGATCTCTATTCACATCTTTGTTATCCAAGTTCCTCTCAGATGGTGAGAACTGGTTCCACCATAACTGCAGGATGAAATTATCATTAAGAAAAGTCATGGAATTACAAACTGCTCTGTTTTTGACAGAAGCGAAACTCAAGGATCCGAATGGATAATTGAAGTCTTCTATCACTGTTATACCATGTCTAACCTCTAGAGGTTATAATTTGTTTTCTGTATTCCTTGTCTAGTTTTCTTTCTGTCCAAATGGTCTGTAGCATATTCTAATGGCAATGTCAGTTTTGTTGTTGCCTCCATTTCTCTTCACCTAGAGGCTTCTCATCATTCTTCTTTCCTCTCTTGCTAAATAGCCTCAGAGGAGTGTTTCTTCTTAATATATACTACCCCACTCTCTTTTTCCTATCCTCTTTCTTTTGAATAAGTTATACTCTTTTCAGGACTTCAGCCTTCTTAAGCATCTCATCATACCATGCCCTATTTATACCTTTGAGGTGAAATTTGCTTCCTTGTCTTAAAATCCCCAATCCATTTTTTTAAACAGCACTTTAAGCATCAAAAAAGCTTTTTGGCTATATTTATATTAAATCAAAATAATCATCTTTCCAGACTTTGCTCAAGCATCATTCCATTCCTGTTCAGGAGTTCATCATGTCTGTATTTTTATTAAGATGTGATCCAGAAATCAAAATCACATTTTTAAGCACCCTCTTACAAGATGTCCACTTCTGAAATCTGCCTTTCCTTTCTGAATCTTTTGTTTCCAATTATAACCCTAATGAATACACCACCTGTGCTCCTAAAGTCTTTAGGTTTTTTTCCTTAGTGTCAAAACCTTTGGAGATGCTTCCCAGATTCCTTATGGTAGTATCATTTTTGCTCATGTGAATCACCAGATGTGGGTAGTAGTTGTCCCCTTTGTTTTGTAAGGTTCTCCACTATCTCTTGGACATATGCTCTTGGAATATGGCAGAACTAACTAATTTTTTTTTTTGTGAAGCAATGAGGTTAAGTGACTTGTCCAGGGTCACACAGCTAGTAAGTGTTATATGTCTGAGGCCGGATTTGAACTCAGGTCCTCCTGACTCAGGGCCAGTGCTCTTTCCACTGTGACACCTAGCTGCCCCAGAACTATCCATTTTAGTTGTTGTCAGCAAACAACTGTTTCATTATCCTACAGGGAGTCACCAACCATTATTCTTTTCTTCTTCCTGGATGTCTTGCCTGATAGCACCTGTGAACTTACTTTACCATTCTTGAGACTACAAGCAAATGCTTCTTCCTCAGAACATCTTGTTTCTTCATCTTCAAGAAGAGCTCCCAAGTTGTTTGTCAGCTCTTGACTTATTCTTCTGTGTGACATTATGTTATTCTTCAACATCCTGAAAAGGTCACAATTAATTTCTGTCTCTTCAGATCATCTGGAATCTGCTTGATCTTATTCATGATTGGTGTGCTTATTGTCCAGCTAGGCAGCTCTTTTGTCTTTTGAGAGATCTAATGATCAAAAGTTGTTTCATTAACTTTTTTAAAGCTGAAATCTGCTTCCTTGTGTATTTTACTCATCAGTACTGGTATCTCTCACAATAGTATTTTAGACTTTCTGAATTACTATCAGCAGAGGTATTTAAAAAGATTGGCTCTTTCCATACTTAAAAATCAGGGGTTTTGACTAGGTGATAGTTCTAAATTCTCTTTCAGCTCCAACATGCTATGGTTCTTATTTTCTAATTATTTATTTGTATCTGCTTATTTCAGGGAACCACCATCATACCATTACTGTCTTCTGTTTTGTATGATGATGAAGAGTTCCCTAATCCAGACCAGTTTGACCCAGGTCACTTCCTGGACTGAAGTGGCAACTTTAAGAAAAGCGACTATTTCATGCCTTTTTCAACAGGTAAGACATTCATCTAATTATGTGCATTAAAGATGGGTTGATAACTGAGAGGACCTTATTACTTGTGTGACCTCAGTCAAATTATTTCATTTCTCTGGACTTCATTTATCTTATATACCAAAAAACTGGGTTGGTCTAGGTGACCATTATGGTCCTTCCAATTTCTAAAACCAGGGAGTAGGGTGGAGACATAGTAAATCATTTTTCTAATTTTCCTTAGGCCAAGGTTCATCAACAAATCAGTTGAGTTTCAGAGTAGTTGCTCCAAAAAAGAGGCAGAATTGAGATAGTAGCCACTCGGTTCTGCATCCAGACCTAACACAAACTCCCCCCTACATTAATAACCATCCTCCCAGGCACTGTCAACCAGGTGCTACTTCTCAGATAAATCTTCTAGGCTTTCATGTTAGCATGGTATAATCTTGTAATTTATCAAGCCAAGGAACAGGATTGGGTTATATTAAGGCCCATTACTTAGGTACCATTATAGCTAGGGTCACTGAAGATCTAATCTTAGAGTTTATGATTTTATGGAAATGTGACTCCTGACTAGGACACATGAGCATGGAACCCCTTCCCAAGCTATGTATATTTTAATAAGGATCTATTGGTACAGAATTATAACTGATGGTCTGTCCTTTCACCTTCAATTCTTGGGGAACCTACTGGTTATTAGGTAATGGTGCCGATAGCCCCTTCTGGCGCTGGCAGACAAGAATGTTGGCAGGCAGCTAACTATCCTTGACATTGTGGTCTCCAATGCCCTGCTCAATTGGTTCTAATACTTGGGTTAGAGCTAGGAGTGAGTAGTTAAGACAAGTGGCTGGATGGCCATGAAGCTGTGGGGTAGACTCCAGAGGTGTTTTCTGTCCAGAATGGTGATAGATGATTCCCAAAAACTTGATCATTCTTCTGTCACGTTTCCCCATTGCAGTCACTGTGGGTACCACAAAGTTATTCCTTGAGACTATAAATGAGGGATTGTTTCTCCCTACGGCAATGACTCCTTTCCTCTGAATATGAATCCCAGAACTTGCTCTGGCCTAGGGGAGATTGATTGAGGGAGAGCATACAGGAAGGGTTTTTCCTCTCTGTCTTGGCTCTTCAAAGGAGTCAAGGACCAGAGAGGAAAGGAATGCACACAGTTCTTTACCTAATGCCACTGAGTGTTAGTGGGCTACCTGTAAGTCCAAAGAAGTGGCCTAGATGACTTAGAAGTTTACAAATATCAAATCCTTATATTTGTCTCTTTCAGGAAAACGGATATGTGCTGGTGAGAGTCTGGCTCGGATGGAATTATTTCTGTTTTTTACTACCATCTTACAAAATTTTACCTTGAAATCTCCCATTGACTCAAAAGATATTGACATCACCCCAGTTGCCAGTGGATTAATCAACGTACCCCCCTCCTATGAGCTCTGCTTTCTACCTTCCTACAACATGTGAAAGACCAGCCCTAGTTTCAACTGCTCTAGAGTCTCCTCATGTTCTATGAACAAGATGTATTCATTTCATTGCCTGCCAATGAAAGCCCTCTATGATTTCCACCCAATATACTCTTCTAGCATAATCTAATACTCCCTTTGACTTTTGCCAAAATCATGATTTAATTTCCCTCAAACTGCCCTAGAAATTCCCTGTTGCTGGAATATTTCTTCTTTTTTCTTCATTTCAACTCCACTGACTGAAATCTTACCCACCCTTCAAATCACAATTTAGGTGCCATATCCCTGTGACCCCTTTAGTTCTTACAGTCTGTATTATTCAATTTAAGCCTGAATTATATATGCATCTTATGTTGTGTGTTCTTTCAGAATGTTTATTGATCCTCACTTGTATTCCTCACCAGATCTTAAGATTCTTTTTAGTAGGGCCTCTATCCTGTACTTGTGTGTAATTATCTACCACCAATGGGTTAGAAGCCATTTTCTGCTCCTTAAACGTCTCATGTTATATGCGTCAACACATACATACATACATCCTACTATGATGGCAGCTTAACTGCCCACAATGTGATGTCAGTAAAGTGGCACCTTGGACAGTATCTAGGACCTGCAATCACAAAGACCTGAGTTAAAATTCAGCCTTAGACATTTACTGGTGTATGACCCTGGGAAAGTCATTTCACCTCTGTTTGCTTCAGTTTTTTATCTATAAAATGGGGATATCATAGCATCTATCTCCCAGGTTATTGTGAGAGGATCAAAGCAGTTGATAATTGTGAAGTATTTAGTACAGTGTCTGGCACATTGTAAGTGCTATGTAAATGTTACCAGAAATTATGATTATTACAACAACAATAACTACTACTGCTATTACTTCTACTACTAGTACTACTACCACTATTACTGCCATTACTACTACATATTTCACCTTCCTACCCTAATTAAAAAGTAGAAATAGAAAATAATCTACTGTTCACCACCTAAAAGAGAGCCTGGGTGGAAAACTTACAAGAATGTCCCGGTCAAATTTCAAAACTCCCAGGTTAAGGAGATTATATTATGAGCAATAAGAAAAAAAAAACAATTTAGACACTGTAGAGATACAATCAGGATCTCACAAGATGTAGCAGCTTCCACATTAAAAGACCATAGGTTTTAGAATATTATATTTCAAAGAGCAAAAGTGCTGGGGTTGTGAGCAAGAATTACTTATCCAGCAAAGTTGAGTTTAATTGTACTATATGCTATATATGCCATGCTATGTATTTGGATATCATATCCAAAAATCATATATTTGACTAACTGAAATACTTTCAGATATTTGTGATAAAAAGACTAGAACTCAATGGAAAATTTGATACAAAAGATCCAGAAGAAATATAAGAAAAATATTAAAGCGTAATTATAAGGGACTTATTAAGGTTAAACTGTTTACATCTTATATATGACAATGCTATTGGTATTCTTAAAAGTGTCATCATTACTAGGATAGTTTGAAATAAATATTGGATCGAGTTGTGTGTGATGGGATGATTCTAAAAACAGAATTGAGCAGGAAAAGGTAAAAAGGAACAATTATCTCAACAATGGAACATGAAGGGGGGGTGGAGCCAGGATGGCAGAGTGAAAGAAGTGACTTGCTTGAGCTCTCCTCCAAACCCCTACAAATACTCCTAAAGAATGTCTGTAAACAAATTCTGAAGCAGCAGAACCCACAAAAAGACAGAGTGAAACAAATTTCCAGCCCAAGACAACCTGGATGATTGATCAGAAAGGTGTATTGAGCTGTGCTGGGAGCTCAGCAGCAGCATGGTGTGGGCACGCAGGCCACAGCGAACATGGAGCAGGCCTCAAAGGAATGAATCTCAGGCAGCTGTGGCGGTTTCCAGACTCCTCAATCCACCAATGCCAAAGACAACTTAGAAGGTCAGTGGGAAAAGTCTGTTTCTGTCAGTGCTGAGAAAGGAAGGTGGGGTTTCAGCTCCATTCCCCAAGAGCATGCCTCTGGGAATGGGGGCAGCTGCTTCCAAGCTTCCGGCCCACAGACTGAGGGGGAATCCAGTGGCTGATCAGAGAGGGACTGCAGGGATCTCTTTGCCAGTGCTGAGGCAGGAATCTCTTGCTTTGCCCGTGTTTGGATCTGGGCCACAATCCTGGCCGGCTGTGCTGGGGTGAGGAGGAGCGCTGGCGTGGTGGAGTTTGTAGTGGCTGCTCACAGTTACAGGACAGAAAGGGGTGAAAATTTGGAACTCAAAAACTTGTGGAAGTGAATGTTGAAAACTAAAAATAAATAAATTCATATTAAAAAAAGAAAAGAAGCAAATAAAAACACATTAAAAGTTAAAGAAAGTAAAAAAAACCAACGAGACATGAAAGGAAGAACTGATATAAGAAGAAGCAGATGGAGGTAGAGGACTGGTAATGTTGGAATCTTACTCTCTTCAGATCTTGGTTGAAGAGGAAACTATTTACATCTGGTGGGTTGGAAAAGTCTTCTGGATTTGTATAAGGGAGAGAAGATGAGGAGACAGGGTTGGGGGAGGAACTTTTAGAAGGGTGTGTTGATTAAGATTTAAAAGTCTTGGGGGGAAAAGAGTGTGTGGGGTGGGGGAGAGGATAAGAGAGAGACTCTTAGAGGAGTGAGTAGAATATAGAACAGGAGGGTAAGAAGAGGAGATAAGTTAAGAGGGACATTTCCAAATAGTAATTATAACTTTGCATGTGAATGGGATGAATTCACCCATAAAATGGGAACAGATAGCAGAATAGATTAAAAGTCAAAATCCAATAATATGTTGCTTACATGAAACACATTTAAGAATGAGATATACACACAGTGTTAAAATACAGAGTTAGAGTAGAATTTAGTATGCTTCAGTAGATGCAATCATGATCTCAGAAAAAAGTTATGGCTAAAATAGATTTAATTAAAAGAGATAAATAGGGTAGCTACATTTTGATGAAAGGTGCTATGAATAACAAAGCAATATCAATACTGAACCTATATGCATCAAATGCTATAACATCCAAGTTTTTAAAAGAAATGTTAAATGAATTACACATGGAAATAGGTAGTAGTACAATAATAGTGGGATATTTTAACTTTTCCCTCTCAGAACTGATAATCTAACCCAAAAATAAATAAGAAAAAAGTCAAGGAAGTGAATAGAATTTTAGATAAACCAGATATGATAGATATTTGAAGGGACTTGAATGAAAAGAGAAAGAGATAAACCTTTTTCTCAGCACTTCATGGTATCTTTACAATAATTGACCATATATTAGGACATAAAAATTTTAGAGTAAAAGCAGAAATATTAAAAGTGTCCTTTTCAAATCATAATGCAATAAATGCCGTTAGCATGCAGAGAAAGAGCTAATAATAGAAGTATGTATAGAATAATTTTACATATATACATATTTGTGTGTAATGGTAGTGATCTCTAGGGTGGGGGAGCTGGAGAGAAGAAAAAAAATGGGGAAAAGAAATTTACATTACTTTATGACATATTTAAAAGGAATAGCAAGTTGTACATAATAGATTTGCAGTTTCATGTGCAATCACTTTTTTAAAATTATACTGTTACAGAAATGCTTGTTTTATTCTACAAATTTAAAATGAAATAAATAAAAAATTAAAAAGCATATTCCTTTCTGGGATGACATGACCAATTCACAGCTCCACCAATGGTCTATCAATGTGCCTATTTTCCTGAAGGTCTTCTGTCTTCTCTCATTATGAACCTAAAAATATCGGTACACACACACACATATAGCAGTTGTTGTTGTTCAGAAACCTCATAAGTCTGGGTATTTATTTCTCTTTTATTCCCCTCCTCCCAAAGAGAAACAGAGGAGTGGAGCTAGATCTTCCTAGCCCATGCCTATGTCCTCCCACTGGATCAACTCAGTCTTTCCCTGAAGAAGTAGCACATGCTTATTGACCCAACAATATCAGTTCTAGACATGTACTCCCAAAGAGATCAAAGACAGAAGGAAAAGTCACTCTCTGATCTACCCTAATTTTCTCTGAGTTGGAGGCTGAAGATTTTTGCCCAGAGCACCCATGTTTAGAGGGACTTAGCTACAAAAAGGAATAGGCACATAATTTTAATCTAAGCTCAATGGCCTGCAGGTCCAAGTGGGTGCTTTCTCTGTTATTTTAGTGAGCTTAAGGATTTTGATTATTAATATAAATCATCACTGCTTGGAGCCCCTAGATCACAATCCAATTTTGATTATTAGTGTTTGCTGAACACTGGATCTATTCTGCGCTGATTGACAGGGAAACCTAATTTAATTATTCCATATTTAACCACTGATGTGTGTCCCCAGATACTTCCCTATTTGCACTTGTGGTACTCAGCTAAACACAGGCAATTAAGAGCAATCGTATCCTTATCTACAGATAGCTATCTTTAAGGTATCCTTGAAAATAGTAAATAAACTGTTAAAAAAACCCAGTAAACTTTTAAAACACTTTTAAATAGAAAGAGAGAGAGAAAGGTAAAAAGGTAATTTACTGGATCCTCTGCAATCTTATCAAGGGAAATATTCACCAATGATTAGGTTGGTCAGTGTTGTCCTGTCTGCCTAAAGATAACTAAATGGCCTGGTGGAGTCTAGACCCACTTAACAATATTCCCCTCCACCCCTGTCACCCATATTTCTTTGCATATGAGTCCTTTCTGCTTAATATCCCTGGGAGGGATAGAAACTAAAGGTAGAATTTCTGTGGCACAGGGTGAGGAAACTCTCCAGGCTAGTAATTCAAAATTCCTCTCCTGTGGCAGAGATTGCAGTCTGACTCTAGAGAAGCTAGTCTAAACCAACTCTCTGCAGGTCTTTAGCCCTCTGGAACTATGAATGCCAGGGTCCTTAGCAAGACTTCCAAAACTACTTCCTGTCTATTTTTAATCTGAACCTTCTATTATCCTATTTTATATGAACATTTCCATATACAAAGTACATACAAAGATGCACTTCATTCTATATCAGTTCATAAAAATCTTCCTAGATTTCTCTGAATCTGTTCCTTTTGTCATCTATTATGACAATGGTATTCCATTTCATTAATTCGTATAGTACAGTACACTCATTTCTTCCTTAATTGTTGAACATTTCTCTCTTTCCCAACCCCTTTCCCTAGTTTCCACTTTGTTACAATGAAAAGTGTTGCTATAATTATTTTTGTACATGTGAGACTTTTCCTTCTGTCTTTGATCTCTTTGGGAGTACATGTCTAGAAGTGATATTGTTGGGTCAATAAATACGTGTTACTTAGTGATTTTTTTTAGCATAATTCCAAATTTCTTTTTATAATGGCTGGACCAATTCACAGCTTAAAGAATGGTACATTCACATCCTTCCT